CTTTCACTTCACAAATATATAAAACAAAATTGTTAATAATTATATAAAGGAAAAATTATAAATATAAAAAATTTGATATATGTTTATGCTATATCCAACTTCAATTCAAACTCAAACGGATAATGATCTGAAACACTCATAGATAATTTCTTATCATTCAATTTTTTGTCAAATTTGAATATCCCGGTATTTCCAATCCATCTTTCCTTATTTTTAATTTCAAATACAAATCAATCATAAGCATTGCATTTTGAGGCAACAGTGGTATCACTCGAATGACCAATTCCCCACATCAGATTATTATTTTTTAATATTTTGTCCAGTTTAGTTTGCTTTGTCTTATTAAGATAAGAACCCGAAGCGTTGAAATCACCCATTATAATTATAGGCTCATTGTCATTTGAACTAATACATGAACTTCCAAAACAATAAAATACATTAAATAAAAAAGAAAACCTATCTTTTTTCTCTAATTTCGCTTTAATATCTTTATATACATTATTCACTAATGCCTTTATTTCATCATACGCATTATCTGGATGTGTATGGCATCCAACAAGAGTAATTCTAATATAAGTTTTTTTTAAATTTTGAAATCGAACGACATAAGGTACTCTTGAAATTTTGTTACAAAACTTTTCAATTGCATAATTTTCTAGTATATTCCATTTGTTCGATCTGTATAAGTAAAGATATCTTTCTTTATATGAACTTCTACCAATAGGTTGACTTGACACATAAGAGTATGAAATAGAGGATGTTGATACTTTGTCAACAAGTTGTTTGATCAGTTCTTCGGATAAATAAACCTCCTGGCAAAGAACAATATCATATCACTTAAGAATTTTGACAATGATTTTCATTACGTCATCATTATTAAATTTTTTTTCACCAAATTCTTTAATATTGAATGCGCCAATTATGCTTTCCTTTGTCATGTTATTACAAAAAAATTATATATGCATACTTTCTGAAATTGTCAACTTTATTATAGGTGATGTAAAATGAAGAAATTTGAATCAATTCAATTTTCATAATAATTTTTTGGATACCTCAGCTTGATTATTCTAATAAATTAGTATAATTTTTTGTAAATGATAAAAATAAAAATTTTATATTGTCAAATCAACGCTT